GGCCACAGGCCCGCCTGCCCGTCGCCTGGCTTCGGGGAAGGGGACGGGGGGCTCCCGGGCCCTTTCTGGGGGGTCTCGAGCCGCAGCCCCGCTCTTAGGGCTTTGGAGTTGGGGGTCTCCCAGCCCCCGGCAGTATCCTTTCTCCTGGGGGAGGCGCACCCTGCCCTGCTGGGATGATAAGGACCTTAGCTCTCCTAGGAGGCAGAACGTGGGTTCCTCCAGCCCTCCCCCACGCTTCCCATGGGGGGGTCCTACGGGTGGGTGCGCCTGCACCTTTTTTGGCGGGAGGTAGCTGCTAGCTGATTCCCTAGAGGGCAGGATGGGGGGAGGAACCCATCTCAGCCCTGTTGATGAAAGCCCCCGCTTGTTTGGGGAGAGACCCTTCCCCGCGCTTTTCCCAAAGGGAGGGGTCCTCTGCTTTCCGTAGGTAGGTGACGTGGGGAGGGCTCTCGGCCTCTCGGGGGGTGAGGTTTGGCTTCTCTGCCTCGGAGGGGAGAGGAAGTTGGTCCCGCGCTTTCTCCCGGGGTTCCCCCTCTCCCTCGGGGTAGAATGGGGCGCCATCCCTTCCGGGAGAGGAGAGGAGATTGCCTCGCGTTTTGGCAGGGGAGGAAAGGAGCGCCCCCTTTCCCTTTATTAAGTGCGAAGGGCCCCCCCACGCCTTCTCTGGCGCTGATAATGGGGCCAGCCCGGCGCGTTTCAGGGCGAGGCTGGGGCCCCTGCCTCCCCTGCTCGAGCAGGGAGGGCTGGGGTGCAGGGCTCGCCCCCCTTCCTGCCGGGGCAGGGGGAGAGGCGGCTGGCGAGTGGGCTCGGAAATGGAAGGTGGGCTCCAGCCGGCAGGAAAGCTCGTCTTAGAGGGAGTGGGGGCGGGGAGGGGAGGAGAACGCGCTGGACAGATGGCTGCCGGATCGCAGCCCGCGCCGGGGAGCCGCCGAGGACCCTCCCCGCGCGGGTCTCAGCTCGGGCTTCCCCTCCAGGCCCCCGGCCCCTTCTCCCCACTCCCACCTCCCCTCTTCCCTTTCTCCTTCACAGACCATACTTTGCCTTTTAAAAGAAATGCCACCCACATTCAGAGACACAAGTGCAGCAGTTTGGTGAGCTTTTACAAACATTTTTTTTCTGTTTTTGTTCTAACTAAATGTATCGTCCTGGGAATCGCAGCCCATCGCAGCCCGACTCCAGTTCAAGGAAATAAACAGATTAGCAAAGGTCTGTTCGCTAAGCCCTGGTTGGGCTTCCGGGCTCCCTCTCCGGGGGCAGGTGCATTACTCAGAGGTGCTTACACGCTTTATCCGACCTCTCAGGAGCTCTCTTATGTCAGAAGTGTATGTCTTACAATGGGTTGGGATGGTAAGTAGCCTCTTTTATTGAGTAATTCAATTATCTCCCTCTTTTTGTCCCTTTTCTGCCTGCCTTCCTCCTCGCCTTTAGACCAAAGTGATGCTTGAGAGTGAATTTATATGTTCGAATCAGGATTCTAACCCTGTTGAGCCCTTTTAAGACTTGCACATCCTTTCAATGTTTAATTTTTAAAATTTAATGTACACAGTTTTCTCAAAAAAAAGTGTGTTACTGTAACATGACAAAAATCTATGTGAAAGGTCCATATGTTTCCAGACCCTTGGCATCCCTCCTTCCATTGCAATCCATGGCTTTGTCTCCAGCTTCATCTTTGAAGAAAGTGGATACTTCAAGTCCATTTGTAGGAGACAAGCTTACTGAATTTGATTTATGATACTTGTATTCAAGTTAATGGTCTCCCGCCCCCAAAAAAGATTGTGGTTCAAGTAGACCCAATTTTCTCATTTTACTCCAATGTCTCTTGTGGTGATGGACGTTAAAATTGAGCAAGTCATTTGTAAAGTACTGTTCAAGCACCAAGTCTGTAAACTGTGTCAAGCCCCGGCTCTGCCCCACTCCACTGCTCCTTTGTTCGAAAGCACATGCCTGACTGAAAAGTTGATGCAAACGTGTTACACGCCCAGTCATGGAGAGAACACCTCCCCCAGCCCCCAGCCCCTGTCCTACACGTACAAGGAGAAGACAGCAACAGAAATGACTTGCAGAATCAAGCCCTGTACTGATGTGTTTTACAAGCATAAGTTCTTCCGTTAAAAGACAAAACACGTTGAAGTTCCATCCCGCTTTCCCACTTGTGATCTCTGCATACTTGGTTAGAGAACCCTAGTCCCCTCCAAAAGACCCCGTTTCCTTTTTTCCATTCTTACAGGAAAACAGTTGGCACACATGTAGATGAGGAAACTTGTAAACAACAATTCAGTAGGCCACTGTGTTTTTCCTCTTAATATGTTCACAACTTAACTGCTGTGGAGGGGTGATCTTAGGTATGTAAAATCAGTTATGAGAGGAAGAAGTCTCCAAACTACAGTATTCCTGCAAAAGTCTGAAGCACAAACTGAATGAACACACTATCAGGGTACTGGGTCAGCCCAAAAGGAGCAGTACTTATGTGAAGTTTCCCATCCTTTGAATTCCTTCTCTAGGAGCTAAGAGCAGAAACTGGATGACTTAAGACCCTTCCATGTTCCAAGGGCTATTAAGTTGCTTATTTAAATATACATTTAAAATGAAACGTTCAGGAAATGAGATTTCTTTTGTAAGTGAAAGTTTTCAGCAATTATTATTCTGAATTTGGAACTGTTTCCTCAAACATTTAAAAAACTCTCAGACATATCAACACAAGGATTTATTGTTTTCTGTTCTCAAAGGAATCTCATCCATCAAGTCCAAGAAGCCCCAGTAATTAAGTCAAACTGTATTTTGGTAATCTCTGTTTTTGAAATGTCACAGTACTGCCTTTTTTTCATTTTTCCCCAAACTGATGTACCAGTATTAGTTAAAAATCAAATTAATGGATGTTGCAAAAAAAAAAAAAAAAAAAGAGAAAGAAAAGGGTGTCACTCAGAATCCCTGATTTAACAAGGAATCTTGTACACTTAAAACCTTTTACATTTTTCTTTTCTCTGGGTGAAAGATTTAATTTGAAACATATCAAGGTCTCCTAGTACAAACATTTGTGACCATGAAAGTATGAATGTTCTGGTCATAAAACTCCTTTATTTTTTACTACCATCAAATCAACAAAAGAAAAAAAAAATGTGATTGCCCAAAAGGGGTAATTCACACCTGTCCTGTCTCCTAGGTAGGGTTTGGATTTGCTCAGAAGCTTTTTGATTCCTTATGAGCTAGACTTCTCTTTAAGCAGAGCTAGCTATTTTAGAAAGCCACTCTTGTGGATTTTTCTCAGCTAGGAAGTCTGATCCCAAGGGAAAATTGTTTTGTACCTGTGGAAACAGAGGCTTTTCCTGGCTGTTTACTGCCTGGAGACTTAGAGGTGAAAAGATGAATGTTGAGTCTTGTTTGTATGTTTTCCTATGATTGAATGTAGAACAGTTTCCTATTAGGCCTGGTTAGTGATTTATTTAATAATGCCTCCACCTCTGCTCCTTGCTCTTAGATCTTTTACCGTCTTCCTTGGTGGGAGAGAAATGGCTGTCTCAGGGTTGTTCGCTTCTGTTCTGTTTTTGCGGCTGTCTAGTCCCTAGAAACATCTCTTCAAATAGACCAGATCCAGTTACAGTAAATACCTCTATGGTGAAAATTGCTAATGAAACTCTTTCCAAGTCTCCGTGGATAGCTATCAAGTCACACCATATTCTAGAGAACCTAATTTTGGTCCCTGTGGACGGTATCTTCTAGAGCCAGAGTGACTGGTTCTGACCCGCTGGGAGGTGGAGTGGCAGAGCAAATAGTAGGCAAAACAGCTGAATTGAGCAAGTTACCTAACCTATACCTTGGCAGCACAGCTACTGACACAACAGGAGAAAAAAGAATGGTTGATGGTTCTTGGGATTTCTGGCAGTTGGTATTTATTAAGCAGATTCAAGTCCCCGTAGGAGCCGCTTGTGGAGTGAATCTTGTTCGAGTAAATGGTTTAAGGCCAGTTTCATAATTAACACCTAATGGAGAGGATGAGAAGCTGCCGGTTTGTCTGGGTGGCATGTGAGGGTCAGTGGGATAAGTTAAGATAAAAATGAACTTGTCTGGGGTGAGCCAAGCTTCATGGGTTTGGTCTTCCCAGTTTCTTGGCCCGGTCTTTGCTACAAAGCCCTTTTGCTTTTGGTAGTTAACATAGATGCAATCTAGGAGACAACGCTGCTTGAGGTTTTTTTTTTTTTTTTTTTTGAGTTGGAGTCTCACTTTGTCGCCTGCTCCCGGCCATCACAGCCTCGACCTGCTGGGCTCCGGTGATCCTTCCGCCTCAACCTTCCAAGTAGCTGGAACTACAGGCGCGCACTACCACGCCCGGCTAATTTTTTGATTTATTGTAGAGATGAGGTCTCGCCAAGTTGCCTGGGTGGGTATCGAACCCGCGGTCTCAGGCAATCCACTCACCTCGATCTCCTAAAGCACGGGATTACAGGCTGAGCCACTGAGCCTGGCCATGCATGAGGTTTTTGTGGTGACTTAGTTGCAGTTTTTAATCAGGTTTCTGGCATATCACCCTTTTGGGTGATGCTTAATAGTTGGGGACAGAAATGAAGACATGGCCTCTTGGTTGATACTAGACTTAGGTCCATGCTGTTGCTGGAATAACGCTTTTAAGCCGAACACAAGAATATTTACTCAGAGTATAGTTTGCTTCCCCTGATCCTATTGCTCTGGACAGAGGACAAATACACAAGAAAGTGTGTCTTTTTTTTTGCCATGTCGTATCTGTGTGAATTGGTGACTCAGTGCCCTGTTTGTCAGGCAAGTGGTGACAGCTTTTTGAACATTGGAGGTGGCAACAGGATGTGAAGGAAGACTGTGGGCTTTGGAGCCGGATGAAACTGTTCAGGCCCCTCCCTAGCAGTGTGCAGTGGGCACTATCCTCAGTGCCCACTTCTTAGGTCATTGTGGTCGAGGGTGCACTTGGGATACTTACACAATGCCAGCATTTAGAGTAGACTCTGCCTGCTTTTCCTACTGCAGACAAATTCTAAATAGAACTTTCACAGCCATGTGTAAACAGAAGTAAGGATAACATCTCTTTCTGAAGGAAGTCTGTTCGTCTTTCACCTCTTAGGGTTCTGGGCAACTTAATTACAGGGTGTCAGTTGGGGTTGAAACTGAGTGGGAGCCATCTTAAGGCACTTCTTGCTTTCTCAGTGGCCTTTTATAGATGGTGAAATGGTCACACCATCGAGAGCTTATGCTGACTGTACCTTCCTGTGTTCATCTCTGGCAATTAGAACCTGACTCAATGCTACAGTAGGGCTTCTGAGATGGGAAACCAGGACCTAGAAGCTCGTGCCACTGCTACCTAGTCACGTCGCCTTAGGCAAGTCCTTCACCCTCTCCAGCGTCTCAGAGGCGGGAGCAAGATCTGTCCCAGACCCAGGATTCACCCAGCTCTTTGTGATCTGGCTGAGTCAGTTAAGGTTTTGTTCATTCAGCATGCTTTTCTTAGAGCAGAAAAGTTTTGCAGAGAACCTTGTCTCCTGAGGACTTGATTGAGAGTTGGGCCAGGGTTGTCCCTGCCTTTACCAGGCCTCAGATTTCCCGCCCTCGTGTCAGACCTACCTTCTGTAGTTTCTGGCCATGGTAAAGCGTTGCTTCTGTTGCTCACGGATACCTAGCTACAAAATAGATGCTTAAAAATTAATTTTTTTTTTTAGTTGGAGTCTTACTCCGTCGCCCAGGCTGGAGTGCAGTGGCACACTCACGGTCACCCCATTGTTGATCTGCTGGTCTCCGGCGATCCATCTGCTTCAGCCTTCCCTGCAGCTGGAACTATAGGCATGTGCTACCATGCCCGGCTAATTTTTGATTTATTGTAGAGACGAGGTCTCGCCAGGTTGTCCGGGTTGGTCTTGAACCTCCGGGTTCAGGCAGTCCACTCGCCTTGGCCTCCCAAAGTGTTGGAGTTACAGGCTGAGCCACCGAGCCCTGCCAAAAAGTAATTTTACGGTTAGGCTTAGCGGCTAGCCACAGGCAGGTCCATGATGATACACAGGATCATCAGTACCAGTCATGCCTGTCAGTGGTCCTGGTCCTGGAAAGGGTGCAGTGACCTCCAGGGCCACAAAGC